GCACACACACACATATATAGTCACATTCACACACACACATATATATTTATACGCAATATATATATATATATATATATATGTACATACATACATACGTACATACATATATATATATATACACTCACACACACACACACGCGCACACATACACACACACACANACACACACACACACACATACACACACACACACACATATATATATATATTTCCATATATATATATACATGTAGTCAGGCACTCACACCGTGTCACACACACCGTGTCACACTCTATCTACAGGACTCCACTGGCAATGTCATGAAGACACAGGAACTGGAGCAACTCAAACAAGCGGTAGGTGGTGAATTGAACGCAAACGGTTTTTTACCACTGTATGAATGTCATGGTTTTTAGTGATTGCCTAGTTGCTGACAGACTGTTTGAGTTTGTTGATACTCCCCTTTGCCGCAGCATGTCAGATTGCGCACTTCACTGTTAATGTATAACACAGACCTCAGACACGGAAGCAATAGGCTCACTTTGTGGTCAATTGTTACGCTGTGGGTGTTTGGTTTCAAGCAGAAATGCTCGGATGTCTTACGCCCCCCAGGGAAGAGGGAGGGCTAGTCCCCCTTTTACTTTGCATCCAATGGTCTCGAATGTCCGAGTGCGTTGCCTATATCCAAACGAAGTCAGTCTATAGGCGGCATGCAGACACCTAGGCTATTCGAATTAGACTGCCGGTATTAAGTCGTTATTCACACTTCGAATACTCGTCTCAATCGGATCATTAGAAAGCATGGGATCTGGCGAAATCACCGGTGAAGACTCTGCCTATGAACGCCTTCATGATGTGGATGTCTGGGTCTACTGTGCACATTTTTAGTCTTATGATCGTTGGCATGACCGCTATGGGGCCTCTCAAGGGCATTAGCAATGCTGGACAAGGTATGGCCCAAGGTCTTAGATGTCCAGATTCACGTGATTTGAGTGCGTTTGTGTCCAGTTTTATCGTCCGTTGTTGCTGGATGTACATTCACATGTACGTTTACAAGTCTGCATTTACTGAACCCAATAGCATCATTGTGATGTGTACATCTTTAGCGGTATTCGCATTTTCTCTTCATGTGAAGAAACACAAATTGGTCGTCGAGTTGATTTCGAATGTAAGCGTTAAAATGAATGCAGATGGTTTTGCATTTTTCTTCACTATATATATATATATATATATATATATATATATATATATATATATATATATATATATACTACACACACACACACACACAC